AGAAACAGATGCATTAGTCAGGGCTCAAGAACTCAGGAGTGCCTCTGGAAAAGTTTAGCAGAATAAATAAGGGTCTTAGGAAGAAAGGTGAAGAACACCACAGTGGGAACCCTCTCTCCAAAGCTTAAATGTGCTAATTGTAAAGGAAGAGTATCCAATGCTGAAAGGGATGAGGAAAACACAGGAAACGTCTTGAGCTGACAGTATAAACTGACACTGTGGGAGGCCCTAGACTTGCAGATTATTCTGAGACCATTTCCCTTTACCTGTTTTGTGGCTGAAAATTGTTTAGTTAGAAGAGACCTTCCTGATGGAAGCAGCTGTTTGTTATCTCTAGCTTTTGAAACTCATACTAGCCTATACAAGGGCAGAGATATAAAAATCTCTTGTAAGGCAGGGGGATGAAGGAGGTAAGAGAGAGAAGTAAGACAAGTTCTGCCTGGTTATTTTTCAAATGCCTGGTGGGAGCATGCAATTAAGAGGAAAGGAAGCTGTGGGCTGACTGCAGATTCTGCAGATAATTTGGGAGAGAGTGACAACAACCAGGTCTATACATCCCAGAGACAGGGGATGAGTTTGATAAAACACTGAAGTTGACAATCAGAAGATAAAAGATTACTTACCAGTAACCAGAGCCTGGAAGATGCCTTGTCCAGAGGTGCTTCCATGCTGTGCAGCTTCACACTCCTTTTGCACCAAAGCAATACTTACAAGATCTGCCTGATGCATGAATAAGTCACTGGCATCTGTCATACAGCTGAAACAATACCTCTTAACCATAGAAGCTCAGAGACCTATCAAAGGGCTATCAGAAGTGAGGAGAGGGAAGTCCATAGGGGCAATAATTCTGGTGAATATCCATGCCTTGTAACTTTTTTCATCTTACTTGTATTGCAGGTAAATTCAAGCTCCTTCTTGACAACTAACTCCTCTGCTCCAATGTTGATTCCACATCCTCAGGTTCTTCAAGAGGCTGTCTCAATCTTTCAGAGAAACAGCAAATGGATCAGAACCTTTGTACTAAGTACTTAATTCTTCCCATATTTATGTTGCCTAGTTCAGTTGCCTCAGAGTAGTTTATAAACAGAGAAAAGATTAAGTGCTGTAGAATTAACCCTTGAAGACTGTTACTTTTAAAATCAGTATCAATAAAAGGAAGTAGCTGTTTAGTTGAAAACTAGTGAAGTCTTCAGACCAAGCAGACTATTTCTTCCTCTTAATCTGAGACTGAGAGAAAAGATTAACGTGTCCTGTGTAAGGTTTTGAAGGGTCTGTGAAACAGCTGAATGACAATGCTGAGCATGGTTGAGCACACAATGAGCTTCAGAGTTGTGAATGCAATCCAAGTTCACTAGGGCAGGGCCAACAACCATATCATCTTGAATTCATGCTTCCACTTGTCTGTTGTTCCACAGGACATTGGCTAAAAGACAGCCAAAGCTTAAAGTCAGTATTAAAAAATGATGCCTGCCCTCTATCTTATGCAGCTCCATTTAGCAATGGCAAGACAGCATTAAGTCTAACAAATGTCATTACTGCAGTGACCTTCATTTTAAGACATACAACTGATGTTTTTCTTTTCCCTCTGAATTTAACTGTCTCCTTAGATCTGCTTACATTCCAAGTAACACATCAGCTGCCCCTTAAAATTAGTAACCAGAAAACACTGTAATAAAAACTACTGATTGTACATCTTTAAACAGTTTTATAATCACTTTGGCTGGCTACTTTTGCTATAAGCTCTATACGAAGTATGATAGACCTAGTGTTGGGTACTGAAGGGTGAGTGCTTATACTGACCCTTCACCCAAACCCTGTCAACAAAGCACCCCAACCATACACCTGTACATGACAGGGCCCAGACTGGCTGTCACTGCTAAAGATAGTACTGTCATCACCACTGGAAATCTCAACACTTATCATTAATAAGAAATGCAACAGCATGAATATTTAAAACATTAATCATGAACACTATCTCAGAACAGAAATGCACAATGAACAAACTTTAAAACGCTGCACATAGTTTGAATCATCTTCCCTCAAAAAAAGGGTAGCAGAACAAAAAGGGAGGCACCAGAAAGTCAACAAGAACAATCAGAGGCACTGAGCAGGTTCTATGCAAAGATTCTGCAGTCCAGAAATTGTTCACTTTGGAAAACATGCATCGAGGGAGTGAAATGGCACATAAAAGAACTATGAAGCTGTGAAAATGGTCAAAGGAGTAAACAGAGGACACTTATCACGGAAAAAGCCTCTGGAGCCCAGTTAAATTACTAAACTAATAAGGTACATCCTTTCGAACAAAGCATAATTAAACCTTGTGACTCTGTCAAAGGATACAGCAGCAGCTCTAAATACAATTGCTTCTGGCCTCAACATGACAGACTGGCAGTGAGCTTCACAGGCACAATTACAAATACATGAAATATCCCTCACTATGTAATGTGTAATGCTACAGCAGAGCAGATGCTAAGCATGCTTGAAAGAAAACGAAACCAAACCAAACCCTGCAGTTGTTTGGGCTTTATATGTATACATATAACACTGCACTGTATATGTAATGTATAAAAATACAGAAATATGTAACAGAAATGTTATTATCTATATAAATTTATATATATGATTAGTACTAATAACTAAAAACCTATGTTTGTAGATACACAATATATGAAAATTCTACTTCAGCAATTCTGAAATTGTTGTATAGTAACACCTAAATTTTAATTAGTTGAACAGAATTCTAAGAGCTGACAATTACAGCCTTTAATCAGTTGAAGACATTCTCCTGCTTGAGGAGGTTGCTTGAAAACAAGCAAGAATTGTTAAGTGGAATCTGAATCTAAAGAAATGCAAATTTGTGCATCATATTAAAAAAATTGCCTACTTGGAAAAACTTGCCAAAAGAAGTGGTAGTCTCCATCTCCTGACACATACAATCCAGATAAAGGACAAAAGTTTTCAAATGTAAGTTACTGGAGCTGAGTTGCCAGATCAATTTACAAATTATTTTCCTTATCTGGTCTAAAATCTGGATTGCTATACATTTCTTCATTTTAATCTGCAATTTTTTGTGCAAATATTTACTCTAATTTTGTATGAACATTGTTTTAGGCTGGTTGTACTCTATGATTAATAAAAGAGGAAATTCAAGAGACAGCAAATGTTTGCTAGACTCAACCCAACCAAAGGTTCAGCATGAACTCTTAGATCACTGCCCTGGAAATGACTGAAGCTGCCAAGTCTTTGCCTCTTTGATCTTCATCTAATTCTAATTGCTGATACACACACAAATGAGGGAAACATCTCAGCTATAATTATAAACATTCAGAATGGGTTGTATGCACAGAGTAAAACAGAAGTGCCCAAGAAATTCTGCACAAAAGGAATACAGTGAAGTTGAATGGTGAGAACCACTGAAGCCTTCTGGAAGGACAAGACATGAACAAGGTACACAGGCAGAAGCTGAGACAAACTCAAAGCAGGAAGACCAGTGTACAAGTCTGAAAGGAACTGCCCAGGCTGTTACAGTAAATGACTTTTATTTTTTAAAAAATGAAATAACCGTGAACATATTAACAGGCCTGCAGGTGGCACTACAGTACAGCTGGATATAAGGTAGATACATTTCCCCATGTACCCGGACAATGAAATCCATTGCATCGATGCTGACATTAGTAAATTCTGAATACAGTTCTATCAAGCAGGAACATTTTACTTAAAATAGTTCTGGACAAAGTTGACACTGAAAGTTAACTTTTCCTTCACTTTGGAAAGGATGTTTTCAGCTAGCACTGGTGTTGGATGAACTATTGCCTGCAGTCACCAGTGCAAGAGGAGATGTACAACATCTCCGTATGAGAACAGAGTTCATACTCCTTTATATTTCTCATTCTGAGGAAGCAGGGTGGTGTAGGGAGAGGGGGGGAAGATGGGTGAGGACTATGGGCAAGGGAGGTGGGGTGTCAAATTTCTATTCACTCTCCTTTGGCTGTTTTTGTGCTATTTTGGACTGCTTTCTAAAAATCACTTCTTGATTTTATTGAAAGGAAGACTAAATGTAATGCGCCCTTCCTTGAAAATGCAGGAACAGTTGTGGTACTTCAAAAATACTAAAAATATCTACTTTCATGAAATATTAACTGTTTCACTACAAACCTAGTTTTTCACTAAATACACAATTCTCCTATTTCTGGAGTCTCCTGGGGAAAAAAAGTGGGTTCTCCCTTTATTTCTGCGACTCTACAGTGTATAGAGAAACGGCTACAAGAAGGGGAGTGCAGAGAATAGCTTCATTCTTTTCCTTGGCCTGTATCTCACATGGGATGTTTGCTTACATTTCTGCAGTTGGGCTACTGTTGGTCACACTCCTTCAGCAGCTATCAACTAAGTCTGCAGTAGGACAACCCACCTCCA